CTTTATGAAGCGTAGCATTCAGGTCAAACATTAGGTTCCACACTTGTCTTTCGCCCTCGTCTTTATCATGCTTATAATTCGCTGAAAGCCGAAAAGCATATCAATGTGTAGAGGGTTTTCGTATATCTCAGTGAATTGTTTTATTTTGAGTTTGCTTCAAGGCGGAGGAAAAATTTCCCAAAAAGTAAGAACATGTATCGATCGTCCCGCCTCGTCCCGCCCCTACCACGGCTCTCTCCTTGTCGAATAGACGGTAATAGAACGTTGCCAATATCAGGAAGCATTACGCTATCAGATGTTTACTAGTAGTTTGAAGAAAGAGCTCTGTCCGGTGAGGTTGAAAGCACAGATCAAAAGCCAGAAGAGATCAAAAGAGCTTTTTCGAAAAACAAACAAATTTATGAGTTTTTCAAACCTTCTGTGATAGTATGAGTATTAGCTCTTCAAGGAACGAGTTTTGTCTAACGAAAAGAAATACAAGCGAGGTAAGAGGAAAAGCACGTGGTTTTATGAAACATAATTTTATTTTCAATGTTACAGCACAATAAAGGGGTGTTTTGGAAAATAGCGAGGTGGGGCTATAACCTCAAGTCTTAGCTTTCGAATGGTTACTAACAATCCTGGCGAATGATATCGATTATCATTTGGTCCTCCTAACCAAAACGAACCCAAAAGCCTCGCTCTCAGTGGTGCACATGTTAGTATCTCAAAGGACAGTGTCGTAACGAGTTGGGTCACATCTTAATAAACTGGAGATTCTGTACGACCAATGTCTGATGTTCCTAAGTTCTACATGGGATTGGACGTTGTCTCCTTCGCACAACGTTTTATTTTTCGCTTGAAGATACCGTTGTCACATCGACGAACGGCTCGTAGAATATCTTCACGTTGGCGCTATGAAAGCCGAGAGTCCTAAAGTCACGAAGAGACGCTTGTCTCCGCAAACACTCAAGCTGATACGTCAACGTGAACTCGCACGAGCTACAGGCAACCGAAACCTTTCATGTAAACTTGCGAAACGCTGCAGTGAAGCGATAAAAGATCATCCCAGTGAGAGACGAGAAGCAGTCATGGTCGAAGCTGCAAAAGGTGATAAGAGCATTCACAAAGCCCATCAAATCTTCTCCGACTACAAGACCAAGAAGATTACATTCCGATTCCCTAACGGCAAAATTCAACTTCCAGAAAAGTGACCGTTAAAGTCATCAATGGTTGCGACTCGGATCTTTTGAATAACCATGCCTTCTAACCTTCAAATGGAATGAAGGATAATGAATTAGTCGTTTGATCGGTCTCTTTTCCAAAATAGGTCAGGTTATATCGTTAATAAAGAATTGAACAGCATTTGGCTTTAGACAAAATAAAACAGGAACAGGTGCAGAACTTACTCCTAGTTCTCATCAACACCCAGGCTTGGCTCTTCACTTGTTTCCTATCAGAATGCATGGTTCCTAGTCAATAGAAAACCAGCAAGACCGTGTTGCTGATAGAGGGAGACTTTCATTGTTCACTCGACTTATCATCAAGATTAGCAAAGCACTGTAAAAAAAACGGTCATGCGAACAAACATGGTTTGCAAAAGAATTTAGTACTGCGGACCACATCCACACAATCGCACGACTCATTGAAGTTTTACGAGAGTACAAAAAAAATCTCTCTGTCTCACTTTTATCGATTGAGTCGTTCAAACTCACGAGTAGCTTGCCAGTCTCTCTCGTAGGAGCGGAAGGAACTTAATTGTTGGAGGTGACTTCTAAGCGCTTCCTATGTATTTTCCGGTCTCTTGAATGCAGGCTTTTGGTCATTTTGACCCATAAAGAAGGTCTGTCAAATTGTTGCTGGAGAAGCAACGACCTCATCCACTGAATCTTACTGCGTCTCTGGGAAGCACACGGTCGCTTTTCCGCGTTTGATTCTCCTTTCCACCTTCTGTGGACGCGTTAGCTGCTCTCGCGGCTAACCTTGCGGGATTCTGCAATGAGGGAGATCCCAGCAAGTGATACGTTCAAAAATTTTCCACTCTCTGTTGATAAGCGAGCTAAAAATGTGTCCAGAGTTCTCGAATTCATTTCAGTTATTCAAGCGTCTAACGACACTTTTACTAGGTTCCACTTTGACGATATGTCACTTATTTCAACCAATGTATAAACTGATGAGAATACATTTTGGCTTGATCCTTTGCTGACCGCGGCCAATTCTGGCTTATCAGTCTACGAATGAATACTATTAGTCAAGTGAAAAAGCTTTTTTCTGAAGAAACCAAGGAATTACGACCACATTTCGCAGAACTCCACTGCATCCCACAAAGTTAGTATCAAATAGCAAAGATTTTTGCACTATTAACAGACAGTATAGATTTTTTCAATTAACAAATAGTAAAGATTTGTATGAATGAGCAATCTTCCTACTAAAAAATTAGTTTACAAAATTTTCTTCGATATTGCACAAATTTTGTAGCGACAAACCTTGCTTGGAATCAAAATTTCCTCACATGATACAAAAATCCGCTTTAACTCCAAATAATGAACTTCGATTACAAACTGTTGACTTTTTTACATCAGTACGACGCGCTATAAGTCTTTTTACAAACCATGTACAGTAATAACATATTGAGTAAGACAGGCCACGATATAACCGCACCCATGGTCACTCGCTGTCAGCAGTACGTAATGTGAGTGGTTAGTTACGCCTTCTATGAGGAAGAAGGTAAGTTGCTCAATACCTATCAACAAAGCTCCATAGCAGGTCTTTTGCGGCTGTTTTGTGGTGTTGATTAGTTTTGAATGTACCTCTATAATGTATTTATTACAGCAAGATGAACGTCCAGTTGTTTAACATTTCATTAATTTTTTAATACGGAACATAGATCTATGGGGCAACAGAGTATTTCCAAATTTTTTCTCGCATTTTTTTCTAAAATGTTGCGGAATTAAAATTCGGGAACAGAAATTTGACGGTGTAGGGCTTTTTAGAGGAAATTTACATAGAAATAAATGTAGGCAGTTTTGGGGATCATGTGCTTCAATTACGTTGTTACCCCATGGATCTATGTATAGCATCAAAAAGTGACTTATAAGAAAACAAAGTGTTCATTTTTCTATAATCACGCCTATGAAAAACTCTCAAATCTAGTCCAAACCAAAGTATTTTCTTAAGCACTTGTATCAATCTGCAATGTTTGCGAGCACTCGCAATATTTTCCTAATTTTTCAAAAGTTTCGAAAAATCTACGGTGTACATTTGCTCGTGCGGCTCTATTCAATTCTGTTCACTCGATATTTGGAGGCTTAAAAGCTAATTTCGCTACTTGTTGTTTCAAGAAATTGCTGCGAGAATGGATGGTTGCTCTACATGTGAGTTTACGCTTGGATTGAAATCTTGATTGGAGCTAGTGCTTGCAGCCATCCAAATGCATCATAGTAAGTTTCCCTGCACTTGTACTCTGGATAAGCGTGAAACACATCCATTGGCTTACAACGTTCTTGTAGACCAGATAATCACTAATTAGCTGTAAGCTTGTCAAGCTTTTCACAAATTGCAGTAATCTTGACGTTCTTGCTGAAAATTCCATTTCATCCGCTCACACAGGGAATATTGGAAGCCCAATGAGCAATGCGAAAGCTATTTGCCGTTTCGGAAATTTCTACAAATTTCGAACGAAACTGATTGAGCACTATATAATCTGATAACATATCTTGAGCCTTTCATGAGGTCTATCATGGCAGTCGGTAGAGACTGTCGCCCATGGGTTGTTGTTAAACGCATTTCGTGTCCGCCCTAACCGTTCTTCGATGGTTTCACGTGTACAACGCGTCTCTGATTTTAGATCTTCGATGTAGTTCAGATTTTTAGATTCTACCTGTCACTTCTGAAATGCACGATACTCTTCTGCGATCGACCTTTTGAGTGCGCATTCAACAATGCCAGCTGATCATTTATCCTATTTACATAGACAGCAGGTCTTTGATATACATGTTGAGGCAGCGATGATTGTTGATTCGAAAAAGTGAGCAAGGAGTCGCACGTTCCTGGATCTCTTTTCTATATTCGCGATGCTCCCAAATGATGTCTAATCCACATGCTCCGTCCTCTGAGACTTCAAAGCTGAGGCGTTCAGCATACTGATCTCTCAAGCGTTTAATTCAAAATCAAACTGATCTCTGCAAACATTCAAACTGGTCTGATTCCATAAATTCGCATTCAAAAACTGTAGTTGCTGGCACTACGATAACAATTTCCTATAAATTACCTTGACCCGGTGGCATTACTCCACATCCCAGCACTGTTGTGGTGGTTACCAAAGAAATCACGAGGAGACCATTCAGAGGACTCGTCATTCTGTAACGCTATTCCCTTCTGCCTCTTGACAAACCTGACAAATGTTGCACACTCATCTGAGAACAACAGTCCTTTATCATGCATCAAACCATTAACAGATCCCCAACAGATTCACAACTCAAGACACGAATGCCAGTGACGTGATATAACAGAAGTTTTTGTTACTCTTTGAATTTTCTCTTAGTCAAGGATGCTGAGTTGTATGCTAAAACATTCTCCTGAGGCAAGAGTTGGACCTGCGTTAGTTATTTCGAAGGTGCGTGCTACCTCTACACCAGCGAGACCACCGCTATGCTAGCACTTGTTTTTGGTACAAGGAATAACTGCAAGCTCAACTTGGTTCAATGGTGATGTGTGCTTACCAAACAAACCCGTTAACCACTGGTTGCCTAACTTCGATACCTCACACTGAGAAAGAAGTTAAAGCGGAGCAAAGGCCCAGTGATGCAGTGGTAGCACACACACTCAGTGTGGTTAAAAGGCGAAATGAATTCCTATTTGGGGCGAATGCTCTGCTTGTCATTCTGCCTTGATATATATTTATAGCATTACAACATGCTGTAAGACTTTCGGAATGAAAAATTCTCATAGAATTTATCGTCTTTGAAATAATCTCAGAAGTTTTGCATATATTTAGGAGAACTGAGTGGTAAACGAGAATCCAACTCCAAGCGGGAGTTGAACTCGCTTTTCACGCATACCGAGAGCGCGTGCTACCATTACACCACCGAGCCACTACTTGGATACCACTAATTCTTCAGTGTCTCTATCATAGCTATTAGCCACCAACCTTTAACATGTTTGGTCAGTAGGCACATGTCGTTTTATGCACCCCGTTAAGCTGACAGCCACTGTGATATGTAATACTCAAGATTTTGCTTACCACTCACTTCGTAGGTAAATTTGAAACATCATAAAACTTCGAAAAGCAGTGAGCGTAGGAAATCTTAAGTATCAATATCACAGTAATTACAGCTTAGTTGAATATGTAAGGCAATATTACTTCTCTGACCAAACCTGTTATACGTTAGTGCCTGGTAGCCGTAATAGAGAAATTGAAGAATGAGTGGTAGCGAGAGGGTCCTCGGTGGTGTACTGGCAATACGCGCCCCCGCTATGCATGGAACGCCGGTTGTAGTTCCGAGTGAAGCTGATTTTTTTGCTTGCCACTCAGTTCTCCTAAGCATGTTCGAAACATCATATCACTGCCAAAAGACATTGGAAACATGAAAAATCTTGAATTTTAGAAGTCTCAAGCGCATTGAACTGATTGGAAAGCTTTCTGAAGTGACTTCTGTGTCAGATTCTACCATTAGAAAGCACATAAAAATCAGTGTGCTAAGAATGTACGAATGCTGAATAACGCAATGCTCGTAAATGCTCCTTAAGTCGCTTGTTTCGTTCTATTCATCTCTGACGCCAAGTCTTTAACTATATAGATTTAACAATCCTGACGGACGCAATTGAGCTGTTTGCATATACTCATCTAAGTTTCATAAAGTTAGATTCAAAACAGCAGTCACTTGTATCATAATAACAATTTCCTATACCGTACCTTGACCCGGTGGCATAACCCACACCCCAACACTGGAAATATAGTGGAATTTGGTACTTCCCGTCATCTGTTCCCAGTTTCCACCCCTTGAAAAAACGTATCTTTTGGTCCTTTCCAATGTTTAAGTAGCCATTCGATGGCTTAAGTTTGAAGAATTTGAACGATATACAATAATTTAGAAATTGCTTCATTATTACGCTAGAACAGCGAAAATAACATTGTTTCTCATTCGGACATCTCTCGTTTAGCAAAATTTGACTTTTGACAATTAATCGATCGATAAAATCGCAACGATTCCAATGATATACTTGGTTTTGAAATGGACTTCTTATTGCACAGTAACGTCAAAAGAAGATTGGGTTTCGTACGCGGTGGGCAGTGTGCCTCGACCGAAAAGGCTTTTCTAAACATACTTGTAACATCGCCAAAAAGTCTATGGATCAGATCCGAGCTTCCTTCGATGACCAAGCTTGCACAGTTCGGTTTGTAACATGGCATGCTTTTGCAGCAACATCACTGCCTTTATTACATTTATTGGTGAAGCATGAATTCTCATAATTGAGGGCACTCGATGAGAACCAGCAGAAAACAATTGAAAGGCAATCGATGTGCAGTGGACTGGTGTCAGTTGTTGTGAAATCTTATTCACATGCTAGTAAAATCTTGTTGGCTTGGCGCCATTATGATGGGATCTTATTCACATAGGGCCAAAGAGTGGTTGCTCAAAGCCCATGACGCCCGGCTAGAAACTATTATTCTTTTAGCAGCTGCAGTTCAATAAAAAATCTCCTTCACAAATCAAGAAAACTATCAAAATCGACAAGATTAAGCTATGAGTTCTTGCTAAAAGTCTATAGGAAAGGCTTTACTAAGGGACAAATATCTCAATGAGAGAAACACAATTTTATTTTCGCTGTTTAGCATAATGATGGAGCCTCTAGAGAATAAATTATACCATTCGAATTTTCTTGATTTGAGCTATCAAACTCAAACATTGAAAACCACCGAACAATAGGTTTTTGCTGAAGAGTCGATACAGGATACGAATAAGGGAAAAGTACTCATTTTTCTCTGAGCATTTCTACTGAACTTTCAGTCATCGTTCGGTAGTTCAAGTTTCGCCTAGGTCAATAATATATTTGTTTCTTGAAATGGATTTCTTATCGCGCTGTGTTATCCAAAGGCATGTTAAGTTTCGCGCAGAGCAACATCGGCTTCGATCCACTACTCTTTGGCGCTCTTTGGATAAGATTTCACCATATTGGGGCCAAGCCAACACGCATTTCCTGTGTGTAAATAATATTTCGTAACAAATAACACAAGTGCAGTGCTCATCGAATGTCTTCCAATTGTTGCATACTGGTTTTAATCGAGTTCCTTTTATTATGAATCATTATGCTTCACCAAGTATTGAAATAGGCGCAGGCATGTTCCTAGAAACACAGCGTGTTGCAAACCGAACGTCTGTTCAAAAGAGATCATCAAATGAAGCTTGTATTCTGTTCACAGACGCTTTGGCGATGTTACGAGCATGATTGCGAAGTCTCTTTGGCTAAGAGACACTCTGCGATCTGAGTGCTAAAACCCTTCTTCGTTTGACTCAGCTTACTATGAAGTCCGTTTCAAAAACCAAATATATCATCCAAATCCTTGAGATTTTATCTATCGACTAGATGTCTAAAGTCTAAAGAAATGGAAAATTATATAGATAAAAATAGGAAAAAAATAGAAAAGAGAAAACAACACGCAAAATATTCAAAGAGCTTTGTGACCAATGACTGCGAGGAAACAAATCGAATTGTAGATGTACTGGGTTCCGAAGAAGAAAACGTGGCAAAGGGTCGTGTAAAAAAAAGTACTACAGCACATAACTTAGGGCTGGAAATTGTTCTGCTCGTCCACATGATAATTCGAAAACACAGGCAGCACTGTGTAATCACCATTTTATGATGGCCGAAGAAAGCAGAATAATTCGTTCCGTCTTGTTTTAAAAAGATTGCTAAGAGAGAAACAACTTTATCTCAAGATTGTCACGTGCACCAAATGCTGTTCTGATCGACGAATTTTAGTTAGTAAATGGAAAAACTGCGATAAAATTCCTCATATAAATTAAGATGTGAGTGCTGAAATCCTCCGAACCCTTATGGCAGTTGAAAGACAATTTCAAGAGGTCTCGTAACGATATACAGCTCTATCTGATGGTATGAGTTATTTTTATGATAATCTATACCGCACTCCATATGGATGCTATACCATTCGACAATTTCACAACCAGAGTAGCCTCTCAGCAGCAAAATGGAAATAAACAAGACTTTTTGTGGTCTAATGTAGCATCATGAAGTGATTTAACAATTACACTTATTAAAAACCATCAGCGCCAGCATCTGAAACGGTGAGGCTCTCAACGAGCAACAAATACAAAAGTCGACTCCACTCAATGTTAAACATAAAATCATTGGTTTATCAAAAGTTGTAATCATCTGAGCAACTTTAAGCTTTGAATATAAGCGTATGATAGCTTATCAAATCAATATTTATTCAAGCATGACAAGTGCTCCGCTTTGCTCCGAGAAGTAGCATTTATTCCTCTCAAGCAAGATTTTCTAGATTGTGCGCATCAATAGCGGTAGGTTAAAATGTGCACTTTATTAGCTCCCTTCAGCCTTGGGAAGAACTTTATTTCTGCAGCAAAAAAAAAAAGAAATTTAGCGGAGAAGTAGCAGTAAAGTGGTAAAAGAGATGGTAATTCTGCTGCGTACTGATTTACTTCAGATCATGGTTGAGGCTAAATGAACAATGGTTAGCTATAATTGTTCAAGCATTGCAAATGCTCTTCAAATTCTCCAGCCGCAGTGGCAACGATTCAGCTTTTCAACGCATTCACCACTTTCTTTGAGTCCTTCACTGAATCTTTTACTGAGGCACCTACCTATAGAGTTCAGATAGAATGTCTGAATGTCAATGCACTTCTCTCACGTAAAAATATCAGCGCGATACATTGTATCAAATTATACGTGATAATAGAGCAATTCAAGCTACGTTTCAGTTTTAGATTACCGAACTTTTCATAGTGCTTACGCGCTGAAGTTATCACCCTTTGAATGCTCAATCGCCTAGTGAGCGCGTGTGGCGCATGTGAGGCACACTTTCGCTGATGGTCACTCCGAAGATCAGTCCTCCGAAAATCTCTCAACTGATTGATGCACCTCAGTCGATTTAGAAAATTCTTGCAAAGAAACTTTCCTTTCGCTATGCGAGCGCTTTGTAGCATGATCAACGTAGTGGAGGATGAAGAGTTCATTCATCATACTAAGTCGTTGACATTAATGTTCCAACGCAGAATGTAATAAATTTTGTTCTGCCTTGTTGACGACTAATCAAAAACACCATCGGCGCTGTACAATTATCGGCCCTGTCATGCGTTTCTCATAAAAGATAAAAGAAAGTGAATAAGTATTTTCTATTCTAGCACTTCCTTGTTATGCAGAGCTATTAGAAATTTCATCACAACATTTTTCCTGCAGTTTCATTACGTTACATGAAAGTTCGAAAAATCGATTTTCCATCAACCTCGGCAACAAAGTCAATTATTAATGTAAGCCTTTTATTTCGAGTGTTTCATCAAGACTACGCTTAAAATTGAATATATTTGTAATTAAAGATCAAATGGAAGTTTTTAACTAACCGCTTCCACTGGTGGTATGATATTTCAAATATAAACCCATTGATGCAGAGTAATGTGCAAAACTTTCGCGTCAGGCGGAACTAGAACGCTAACCTCACTCTTTCCGAGAGCGCGTGCTCTATCCGTTACACTACTGACGCCCATTGTGCGCACTGCTCTTTCTACGTTACAGCGCATCTATCCATCAGTTGCCACCCGTCAATGGCGTGGCCCTGGTAGTCGGTCTCGACATTGAACTCAATCACATTGCGCTGTAATGTAGAAAGAAAAGTGTGCAAACTGGGTGTCACTAGTGTAACGAATAGAGCACGCGCACCCGGCGAGAGTGAGGTGCGGGTTCTACTGCCGCCTGAAGCGAAAGTTTTGCACATCACTCTACATCAATGGGCGCATCTCATAATTCCTACTTGAGCCAGCATGTCATATAGTCTGTTGAAGGGTTCTTGTGTAGCCCGATACACCTGTTTCGGTCTTGCAGCGTCGTCAGTCGGGCA